GAAGCATCAGACCTCTTATAAAGCAGAGACAATTCTTGACATGTACATTTAGTCTCTAATAGAGTCCTGAGTCATTATAACCTATACTATATTATAGCCTATGCTATAATATACATTATAACCTGTAGTACAGGTTCTATAGCATTATCGCAAGTATATGTCTTGGAAGGTTGGTTGAGTTGCTTCTGATGCCACAATAATCCCATCTAAATTAACTGAGATGTAGACCTGATTGTCAGGCTTATCATAATTAGATACAGCTATTGTTAATGGCTTAATTCAATTGCAACCCAGTTGCTTGAAATGCAGGTTATGCAGGAGATCTCTTACTTTGAGCAGACTACTGAACTTCCTAGATTATATTCTGTTGTTAACATCTCTTGGAAAAGCCTAATGCATGTCAAATACTTTGAAGGAACTATTTTTTAACTATTTTAACTCCTAAACTAAATTATTTGTAAATTAACAGAATATACATATTTTTATACCAAAAAAAGCTGAATCTGTTTTTTTCAAATGCAAAGGGAAACTTAAAACTTCACCATGATGTCATAATGGATAACCCCATAATATTTATATCTGAAAAGACTCTTGAAACACTGAAAGATACTTTTCCACTATTTTATCTGCTCAGTTTCTTTGCACTAATATTGTTTTTACATCTAGGGATGGGTTAGCTTAGCCATTCTTCCTGTGCACATGTTAAAGTTCTGAGCATACACAACTGATTCATTTGTCAGCATATTATCTTTCATTTTTGACTCATGACTGTAACAGAGAGACCTGTTCATCCAAAATGTAGAAATTGAGAAATCTAAGATGTTTTATCTAGTAGCACTTTAGCAACCACAACCATTGACATCACCTGTATTTTTTTCCTGATTAGGATACGTTCTTATCAAATTAATTCAAATAACCAATGTGCTGAATTTTGGCATAGGAGGAAAGTTATCAGAATAGACTGAGAACTGGTTAAGATCAGGAGACGATAAAGGGTAGGAGTAAATGGAGGAAAGGGGAAAAGGAGGTGGCATGGCTTGAGAGCTAGTACTAGGCTATCATTTTATTGTTACATAAGTAGCATGTGTGTACTGTACATTTGCTTGAAAAATTATAAATCCATTTCAGAAGACAATTTGTAGTCGCACTCAATATTACTAAACAATGTACAGTAAAAGCTCTGTTATCCGGCATCCCCCAGGAATGGGGGATGCTGGATAATAAAATATGCCAGTTAATTGAGCGGCCCGAATAAGCGTCCTTGTCTGTTCAGGCCGATGCTTTTCCTGCCGTGTCTGGGTCATTGCTGCCCCTCCCATGGCATCGCCAACCCTCCCATGGGCACCTGTCCATGTGGGCCCTGTGGGACAGGGAGGCAGGACCCGCACAGCCTGTTATGCCCCTGGGCCGTGGGGGCTCAGTAGCGCAGGCTGCTTTGCCCTGGGCCGTGGGGGCTCGGTGAAACCGGAAGTGCCACGGTGGACACTTCCGGTTTCACTTTACAAGCCAGCATGCCAAGTAATAGAGCATGCCGGCTTGTAAGGTGCCAGTTAATGAACTTTTACTGTAATTATATAAGAAAAGTAGGTATCTCATGTACTTGTTTTAGGTGATAGTAGGTGTAATTCAATATAGATAGATGTAGGATAATAAACCTACAAGAGAGGGGAAACGTCTCATAAAACAAAATAATCTGCTGCATAGAAAAATAGTTAAGTATCTTTACTGATAGAGAGATTTGGGAGTTATCAATAAGTCCTTGAAGCTTTTTAGCCAGTATGCAACTGCAGAGAAGAAGATAAACAGAAGCTGGGCTACAGAGGAGCCAAGGGATATGGGAGTAGATTATAAATTAAGCAAGGAAGATACTAGTTGGTAGGCTATGCTGGTTAAAGTTCATGCAAAGTAACATAATAGTGATGCACATACTTCACAGGTTTTTTTATAGATGGAATGTAAGCAAGCGAAACAATGTTATGATATCTAAACGATTGATGAAAACCCCTGAAAGAAAAAGGAGATTGGATTTATCCTTCATGGAAAGGTAAACACTGTTTATTGGTGACAGCTTTAAATATTTAAGTGGAAAGTTGTTTCTCAAATCTTACCCAGATAAACCAGCAAATATAACAAGAAGGCCAGTTCTGGAAAAAAAGAAAACAGAGAATGAACAACAGTTGGGTGTATTTTTTTGTATGTCTACTGGGTCTTCTTGTCTGGGAGTCTGAGTGCAGTACTGGGGGGCATACTCATGGCTGTTCAGTTGCAGACACTGCTGAATTTGTGGACCTGTGGAATGTATGGGGTTTATCTCTCAACAGCACTTTTAGGCTTGTTCTGGATGCTGCACCAATAAAGATGCAGTGTATCTCTCTCCACCTATAGCTGGAAAGCATGTAATGGGAATACAAGCAGAGATCGAAGGGAGTAACTTTAAGACCTCAGTGTGGTATCCTTGGCGGCAGGTTGCACTGATTAGTTAGTTCTTACAAAACATTCCTTAAAATTAACAAACTCCTGTTGACTAACGGCCTTGCTAGCTTCCCAGTATTCACAGGTAACTTTCAGTAGGACTAATGGAAAAGATATACATGCACAGGGCCAAATCTTTCAGTGTTTAATAAAGTATAACTTCTATTTACTTCAATGAGAGTGCTGAAAATGTTCAGTGAGTGTTGTTCAGATAGAAAAAGTTTTGACAATAGTTATTCAAGGAGTAATTACCAAAATGTGCATATGTGTGTCTGTGGGGGTTGTGGGGGGGGTTACAATAAATTATTCAAAGAGTTTTAGTCAAGGTTAAGTAAACTCTTCAAGATTTGGCTAGAAAAAAGTAACTAGATTTCTATATGCAAATTGCTTTTTGTTTTTGAAAGCCTTGCAAAGTGCAAGTTCATTTCCTTCTCTGGTTTTTTTTTTTTTGGTATTTTATACCTGGTCTGAAAAATATAACCCTCTAATATAAATGGATATATAATGGGTAAGATCTGATGAATACAATTCCTTTATCTGTTTCGAGTTCGCTAAATCCTGAATTTGTATTTCATCTTTTGAAGTGCCATTTGCAGCTACCATTTTGAAATGCAGTAGGATGCTTTGTTATGGATCTCTGATTGCAGGAAGAATGCGAATATTAATCTTTGACCAGCTACAAAATGTTGTAGCAGTTTACAAACGTATATATTTTCCGTGGAGTAGCCACCTTGGCTCTGTGTTCCTTGGTATGGAGAAAGTAAGGTTGAATAAGGTCACTGGTTCAGTCTGTTAGATTTTATTTGAGAAAGCTGTTTTTGGTGAGTGAGCATTCCCCAGGCCACTACTGATCTATGAAAAGGCAGGAATTGTGGTATGAGGGAAGAGTTTCAATATCTATGTTCCATTATGTAGTTTGCTGTACTGAGGTGCTGGGATACAGTTACATAGTTAGGATGGTCCATCTGCCAGTCAATCTACCTTCCTTTGAGTGCTTACAATAAATAGTATTCAGAGTAAATATTATATCTGAAATGCTGCTGTGGACATGGCCTCTTTTTCACTGTCTACAGTGTGAGCTTCTTGATTTATTATTGGCTTAGTTGGTGATTTGCATGAAGGGGATCATAGTAATGATAAAATAAAAATAACTTGCTTTTCAAAAGAATATTTTATATCTCATTTGTAATTTCCCCCAAGGAAATTATAAGAATTCAACAGTTCTGCTTTGGTATGTGCATTGCATAGAAAACACACAAGATGCATTTGTGCACTGTCTATTGTAATTGACTGCTTTTCACTGGCAGGATGATTGCATTTTCTCCACTTAGTTACATGAAATATTTTCTAATCTTGAACTCTCAGTGTAAGCATCAGCTACTTTGAGCTTTTATCTCAAAATATTTTAATTGGGTTTCTTTTTCAACATTTTGTAAAATCCTATATACTACAGCAGTGCAACCTTTTCAGATTTTGAAGTCTTATTTTTTTAATGATTATTGTTTGTTTTGATTTTTCAGTAGATCAACGTGCCCCTTTAAAATTCACATTACCTTTCCCCAACTATCTCATTGTGCTTATGGTATCTTTAGATGTAGAGACAGAGACTATGCTTCAGCTTGCATCTTGTGACTTTCTTGGAACATATCGTCTCCAACAAATAGCCCTTCTATGGATTACTTTACAGTAAGGGAAAGCAAATTAGTTGACTTTGCTATTATCCCAGTAGTCACACTTTTTGGAAATAATATTTCTAGAAGTTGGCTCTATATGAACCAGTAATAGCTCATGGGTTAAGGGAATAGATTCATGGTCTTTGTAGGAAAAGCACATAAAAATGACAAGTCTTTTAATTCTCACCCATCCCTCTTTCTTACAACCCATTTAATAATCTTCCTAATATTATTTAGTATTGTTTGTTTTGCAGCAATCAACTACCTGCATCTTAAGATGAAAAGACTATTCAGAATCTCACAATCTTAAAAATTGCACATTTATACCTTGTATTTTTCATCTGGTCTAGATGGGCATTTTAAACACTGGTATAATAAATTTATTCAAAATAATTTGTATATTCTAAAACTAGAGATGACACAGCTCAAACCTGAAATCTGAAATATTTGCAATTCACATGAAGGGTGATTTCACACTTAAATTAGATTTTAACTTGTCTATGGTTATGACTTGCGTTTAGGTCCAAACTCAAAAAGAACCATTTTGCATTTCCAGTATTAATTAACATTTCTATACATGACAGAGGTGATGATATTGGACAATACAAATAAAGGTGGATTATCTATTCTGAAAAGCTTGTGGTCAAAGACTCAAAACAGCAATAGGAGCTTATAACATTTGGAAAAAGGAGAAAGGGAGGGTGAGGCAGAGGATAATATGACTGTGTGGTCATTTGGGAGGTCTGAGGTTGACAATTTTTATAAAAAATGGATAAGAGGCTGTGGAGCGCATATGCTTTCATAAAGGAGCAGCTTTAAGAAGTTATTGAACAATTCCTCTCTTCTCTTTTACAGATATGTTCAAGGTGAGCATACTGTGAATTGAAGGCAGTGTGGAGACAGAGTAGGAATGGTGCACAAAGAAGGTATCAAGGTAAGAAAACTTCATCTGAATAAAGAAGCAAAGACAATAAGGTGGGTGGTAGATCAGGGTGGTCCAACTTCTAAGGCCCTGGGGGACTGCATGCTGTAAAAGCCACGCCAGGTATGCTGCACGGGCACTTCCCCAGATTTACTCTCAGCTACCCATGCTGTGGGATTGCCCTGCACTCTGGGGTGAAGGCAGGAAGCAGTAGCTAGAGGAGGAAGTGGGAAGCCTGGAGACCCTGCAACTGGGGGAGCTGCAGTTAGGTGAGATCCTGGGTGCCTCACATGAACCCCATGTGGGCTGTATGCAGCCTGGGGCCTGCTAGTTGGATAGCCCTGGGCTAGACTTAGGAACCTGAGATGAGGTTTAGATAAAGTATCCTGCAGCTATTTTAAAACTGCAGCATTTTAATTAGATCAGCTTTCCAAGAACTCTTCTAATTAAAACATCTCCCCCACACTTCAATGTGAAAGGACCATTGAGCTCGTGTACCGGCAGCAAAGGATTCTGAGAAAATTTCAACGGGCAGAACTTTACTGTGGGATTCTGGTAGACTAGAAAATATGGCACTACAGAAAGAAATCAAAATAATTTCTGGACTATGATAGGAAATTTTATGAGAATATTATAGGGCAGACACAACAAGAATTGGAAGAAGAGCAGGAATAAGTTAAACCAAATATTTTTCTCCTGCATAAAGTTAGAAATGTTGCAACTCACTCACTGCTCTGTATGAAGTTGAACATACATTATTATTGCACATAGTTTTCTGCATGCTTTTAGTTGTCCAGAATGCTTTGTTTTCTTCTACTCTTATTTTTTATGTTTTGTATTTTAATAACTGAAACATTTTGTTAGCATTTCCTAATCTTGTTGTGCATTCAGTTGAGGCCAGACTGTTAGTCTAACTTCTTCTGTGAATGAGTGGTTCTGATGATCTCTGCTTTAAGTAAGAGAATTGTTTTTGTACTTGGTATGCACCTTTTCCTTCTAACCAAACAGAAGTTGGTTCCCTTCAAACCCCATTAATGTCACTCTGAGTTCCAGCCGAAGAGCACTGTGAATTACTTGGTCCTTGCCAAAAGTTTTGGCATTCAAACTTGGAATACCTCTTGCAGACCCTGCCAGTGCCAGAGAACTGTGTGGGGAAAAATAAATCTGGGAATGGTTGAGCATTGCAGTCTCCTCTCCTCTCCACTGCAGTATCCTCTCCTCTCCTGTTATGGCAACAGGTTTGCAAACCTTTTGCTGCAAAATCATTTCAGTGTTTTTATCATAAAATGATGCAGGTGGTAATTAAAGAATAGTTTGATTTCTGAACATTGTTTTGAATGAATATATAGATCAAACCATCACACAGATGGGGCCTTCAAAGAAAGGCATTTTGAAATGGCCTATCCAGTATATTCTGGTATATATGAACATTTTGGACCGCAGCAGTTCTTTTGGAGGGATGGGGGATGGGGGACTGATTCACACCGATCCTAGGATTTGCCCTTGGAAAGTAGCTTTTGCAGTACTGTATCATATTAGCTTTATCTGAGCAGAGCCTGAGGAACTGGTGGATGAAATGCAAGGCTGTAACATGCAAGGCCCTTTCCTACATAACTCACTCTCAACACTTCTCTGTCCACAGTAGAGGAGGGACGGGCAGTGGTGAGACTTTAGAGACTATACCCAAAAGAATGATCTTCAAAAGATTAATTTTGATACTATCTTCCTATTAGTAGTAAAGATTTGTATCAAAATGTTCACGTGTAGGACCTTGCTATCTGTTTTCATGTCTCTCGCGCACATTGGGTGAAAATTCCTTGAGAATAGTTTGGTCCGATAATGGATTCTATGCATTTATAGAACTGGGACGAGCCTGTGGGCCATTTAGTGTAACCCTTGCAGAGATGCAGGATCCACTGCTTCTATATGATTCCAGGCAGATGCCTATTTTGCAAAATCTCCAATGTTGGTGATTCCACAGGTTTTTGGACAGCTCATTCTATTGTCTGTTGCTTCTTAGAGCTAGGAAGGCTTTCCTGAGGTATATCCAACTCATCTTCACTGTAGTCTAAATCCATTGCATCTTATCCTTGTCATGACCCAAAGGCATGATTTTGTGTGTGCTTCGGCACCAGAATTATCCCTGCCAAGTTGCAGCTTCATTGCACGGGAGAGTTTCCTGTTGCAGAGGAAAACCCCGGTGCAGGGACGAGTTTCCCGCCTTTTTTGCAGCTTCTTTTGCAGGGTGCATTGCTCATGTTGCAAGAGGAATGCACGGTGCAAAAGAGTTCCCGCCACCGGTATGTAAATTTGTTCCCCACTATTGGCTAGTTCTAAATTATTCCCACGTGGCGGCTAGCGATTGGCCTATTAGCCATATAAGAGGCTTGAGCGGTTTCCACCCAAGCCAAAGAGGACTCCACATCCATTTCGTGGGGACTCTGAATACACGGCAGGGTAATAGAAACCCTGTGTGAGATTCAGAGGAGTTTGGCGACCTGATCCATTGCCCACCTCTTCCCGTCTTCGAGCGCAACTTTTATAAGACGTATCTACGATTCTGATTTTGGTGGCTCGTTCACCCAGAGCATCCGGAGCTCTGTTCCGTGAAGCCTAGCAACCTCCACGAGACCGTCTGTGTTGTCCGTGTCTGTAACCGCAACTCAAGCAAGTTTTCCAGCCTACACCACTGCCATCTCGGTGTAAGTAAACAATCTTTAAAACTACCGCTAAGCGTTTGTGCCTAATTCCAGCTCGACGGCCTTCCCTCTCCGACCTGGCGTGCCTGGGCTGCTGGCCACAGCCCGCGTGCAGCACGGAAAAGGGCTCGGGTCGCTCCCGGCCCGCACAATCCTGACCTCTGACAAGGAAGGACAGTTTTTCTCCTTCTTTATGGCAGCCTTTCATGTATTTCCTATCAAGTCTCATCCCCGCCCTTTTGTCCTTCATACCCTATTTCCTTCAGCCTTTCCTTATGCTGCTTGCTTTTGTCATGTTTATCTCTTGCTCAGAATTGTTCCAAAGGCCTGAATCATGGTCAGCTGAGTGTTCACTGACTTCAGCAATCTAGATTTCTGTAGACAAGTTTGAGAAGTTGAGGTGTTTCATGTGAAGCTTCAGCTTCCTGTCGATTCTTCAGCAATGCCAAACTTAGTGAAAAATTGTGCTAAACACTTTTTTTTGTCTGTTGATCTCAAACCATTTTTTTAGTGAGGGTAACTATATTAGCTCTCTCATGTGTAAAGTGGGAATAAGGCACAGAAAAATGTAATGACTTGCCAGACAGAAGAATCCAAGGAAATTTCAGTACTGCAGAGTCTTTTCTGCATCCCAAGCTTGCCCATTTCTTTATGGCTCATTCATCTAGTTCATTCCACACTTACTTTTTCTCATACGTCCTTACCCAAGGTAGTATCTTGTTCTTAATTCAAAACAAACAATATATTGCTGTATTTTAATATGCAAACCATTCCTAAACCAATATTATTAAGCTTGCTTGATTACAGGCAAGCATACCTGCCATGCAGTGACTACTCAACCATTTGTGATTTGTGCCCTCCCCCACACACACAGCCCGCCACCCAAAAAAGCCCATAAAACATTCAGCAGTTTTGATTTTCACTTTTTCCTAAGATGCATTGGAGCTGAAGAGGGATGCCTTCTATGTGTTTCTAAATAGAGCAAAAGGTGGGGTAGAGAACCACTTCACCAAAGATGAATATACCTCCTCTGCTCGTGCTTGTAGAGAGGCAGTTAGATGGGCCAAAGCTACCATGGAGCTGAGGATGGCATCCCAAGTAAAGGACAACAAGAAATTATTTTTTAGATATATAGGGAGTAAAAGGAAGACCCAGGGAGGAATAGGACCCCTGCTAAATGGGCAGAAACAATTGGTGACGGACATGGGGGGACAAGGCTGGACTCCTCAACGAGTTCTTTGCCTCAGTGTTCCTAAGTGAGGGGCACGACAAGTCTCTCACTGGGGTTATAGAGAGGCAGCAGCAAGGCGCCAGACTTCCATGCGTAGACCCTGAGATGGTGCAGAGTCACTTGGAAGAACTGGATGCCTTTAAGTTGGCAGGCCCGGATGAGCTCCATCCGAGGGTGCTGAAGGCACTGGCCGACGTCATTGCAGAGCCACTGGCGGGAATATTTGAACGCTCGTGGCGCACGGGCCAAGTCCTGGAGGACTGGAAAAGGGCCAACGTGGTCCCCATTTTCAAGAAGGGGAGGAAGGAGGACC